CTGTCCTGCTCTTTGTGTGCAAAACTTACCATTTGTAATTACAGCTGCCTCTGGCACTTAAAGACAAGGGGGAGTCTCCCTTAAATTTAACATGTTAGAAGAAAATGCCACTGTGAACCATGTTTTATTAATTTAACATGTAGCCAATTAAACTGAACTAGTTTTCCTGTAAAAAGTGGAAAAACTCTGCTGAGCTTGCTTCAGCAGTAATGTACTAGGCTAACCAGAAGTGATGACTAAACTTTTCTGAAGAAATCCTTTAAGCCAGAAACCTGTTTGAAATCACTGGTATAATGACCTAAACCTAAAATACTTACTAGTTCTCCCTTTCATTTTGATATGAAGAATCCTGTCGCTGGGCCTGACAGTGTCAGTTGCCAAAGATAAAAGTGAGCCTTCAACTTGAGTATGTTTTAATTTTAGTTTTGTAGTACTTGGGGAGATTCAGAGGTAAACTATTTTTAGGCTACCCTTAAAAACAAGGAAAGAGCCACTAACAAACAAATCTTATGTTCCCATTGGGAAAAAGCAACTGTCTGCTTGTTTTCTGATATTTATAGACTAACCAGATATGGTTCAAATTCTGTGGTTCCTTTTTTTATTTTCCCAGAAATTCTCCTACTTTCAAGTCCTTTGAGGAAAAAGTTGAGAACTTAAAGGTAAGCATTACTAAAACACGTTGGTGATTGTGGAGCTATGGATGTGGAGAAAAGACTGAAGTAGTTTAAGTGGAAATGATTTCTCTGCCTAATGATTTGTGAATGAAAAAATGTGCTTCCTGCACCTCTTACAGGAGGATACTTCTAACTGGAAGAACTAACAGCCAGCTAAACTGCACGAACAGCTAGTGTAAAATACCTAGTATTAGGTAGCCACAATGGTCTAGGCTTTTATTTCGTGCCTTTCTAGGCACTAGTATCCCATCCAGGAGAATAGCTTGGGAAGCTTCTCTCATTTCTGGCATAAAAGACAAAAGGCCTTTGTATCTTAATTTAAAATGTATTCACAAAACCCTAAAGTTCCAGAAACAACCATTAATAGCTTCTCCAAGTAAAAGCTCACTTTCAAAATAACTAATACATGTAACTGGACCAGGTTTGACTGTTCTCATGGGCACACTCATGGGTTGGATGAGAAGCATGCAAGTGATAGCCTGGGGAACTATGCATTCCCTTGCAACTAACTGGCATTAACTTGTTACCTGGAGAAAGTAAGAGAGTTGCTCTTGCCGCATAAAGATCTCAGGAATTACTGTTGAGACACAAAACTACTCAGAGTTCTTTCTTGAGCAATACAGAAGCAAGTTTTAACTTTGAATATCTTGAAGCCTAAATGGCTTGAAAGGCTGCATGTCTGTATCTATTTGTAACTTGAGAGTATGTGAACCTTTGGATTCTGAAATCAGCCTTGTTTATAAGGGCTGCTTTGTGTATCTGAAAGATAAAGGAAGACTGCTGTGTTAATTTGCTGGTGAGTATTTCCTGCTGGATATGTGAAGACTTGTATTCAGAGTATTGTGGAGGTTGCTCAGTCCTGGAAAAGCTGCTGTGCTGAAGAGAGTTACTAACCTTACTAATGGAGAGGTACTGGTTTTGTACAGTTAAGCATGTCTGGCATGCCAAGTAACTACTATTTTATGTTGGGGCTCTCTCTATCTAGTCTAAAGTTGGAGGAAGCAAACCTGCTGGGGGAGACTTTGGAGAAGTTCTCAACTCTGCTGCCAATGCCAGTGCCACAGAAACTATTGCAGAACAGACAGAGGAGGAGACCCACTGAAATTCCTGCCTGTCCTGCTACCCACTGCCAGATACTGCAAGCAAAAACCAAGCACACTTGTAACATTCTCTGCGCTCTTTCCACCAGATGTGCTTTTATGTAGCACGTAGTTATTTTACCAGATTAACTGATACCAAGCTTGTTTGTGGGTTCAAAATATTTTTGAAACTAAAATACGTTATTTGGGGTTTTGTGTGGGAAGGGGAATTTTTATGCCTTTCAAGCATTTAAAGGACTTACCTGTAATTTAAAGGCAACCTTTAAAATATAGCAATGAAAAAACCAACTCTTTTGAGAAGTTAATTATACTGTACAGATACTGTGGATACATAATTTCTTTTCAATCTGTAACTACTACTCAACTTAATCATTATGAATCTACTGCTGCTGCCAAACTGAAGCTTGTTTCTTCTCTCCCTTGTGATTATTTCAGTTGAGTGTTGCCTGTAAGGGACACTGGACTAGGAGGAAGGATCGCTCCTAGCTAAAGAAAGGACTTCCATTTCAGCAGGCTTTACACAAGTTATAGCAGGATCACACATGAGTAGCAATGTACTGTCTTATGAGCATGTTCCTCATACAGCAGATGTGGATGGGTAACACAGAACATCTAAGATTTACCCATTTATCTGTGCATCGTCCACGTAGGAAACTTCTGACCAATGCCAATGGAAGCAAGATGCCTCATAGTGCTGGTTTGGTTCAGTCCTCATAACATTTTCAGTCTTGTTTTTTGCACAGGATGTCAGTGTGGTTTGGTAACACACTTCTGAAGGTTTGACCAGTTGTGAATAGATTCATCTTCACTCACACATGGTGGTGTCTCATTCATACTAACAAAGTGTAGACTGCAAGAATAAGCCTGAGCACAGAAGTGGTTCTTTTTTAGGCATCAAGAGCATTGCTCCTAAACTCTAACATTGGTTCCCTTGTAGGCTGACCCTTGAAAACATCTGCTACACTGTCTTACTGTTTTCATGTGTTGAAGGCCTGTACCTCTAGCAGCACCCCTGTCCCTGTTCATGACCCCAGAAATCTGTTTTGAGAGGTGTACAATGTCATCGCTCAGCATAGCTCTCTTACAAGATCTGTCCTCCTACATGTTGTTTTATCTGCTGTACTCCTCAAATTGCTTGTGTTTTGTTTGTTTCTGGCACATGGTATCAGTATGGTTAGAACTTTTTATCACTGCGCTTAGAACTGGAAACAAGTTTTGCAACATTTGTGTGAAATCCCTGAAACTTCAACCACCACAGATGTCTGGAGGGAAAGAAGTTGGCTCCTGACAACCTTGCTAGCATGTCAGATGTAGAATATATGCTTAATCACATGTGAGAAGCTTAATAAAAACCTGTATGTGAGGAATGTATTGTCCCGTGAATATGGAGGATAACGTAAATAAGTAAGGAAGTTTTCTTTCTAATTGAAACAGTCCTTGAAGTCTGGTTTCAGTGCTGATATATACTACTATACTGGGGGGAATCTGCATGGCTGAGCTTGGCATTTCTGGAGAAGACTAAGGTTAGATTGCCTTCTAGTGGCTTACAGAAAATTACAGAATCACAGACTTGTTAGTGTTGGAAGGGACCTCTGGAGGTCCAACCCCCCTGCCAAGGTAGGGTCACTTAGGTTATGCAGGTTACACAGGTGTCCAGGCAGGTTTTAAATGTCTCCAGGGAGGGAGAATCCATTACCTCCCTGGGCACCCTGTTCCAGTGCTCTGCCACTGCATTAAATTAAACTGCCCTGATTACATTGTGAAGTTCAGAAAATGGGTTGAGATGTATCCTCAGCCTTTGACAGCTGCACCTTAGCAAAGGAAAGGAGAATTGAATGATACAGGGAGAGTTGCTCTTCCTCTGTTGGGTCGGTACCATGTAGAGCAGATCCTTCTGGAACATGATCCTTGTATGAGGTTTTTATTTATTTAGCTGAGGAAGAGAAGGGTCATCTATGCCAGAGTTGAGCTCTCTGTGTTCTGAAGGAAGGTTTGTTTTTATGACCAAATGGCAGGATGATTTTGCTGTAATACAGTATTACACTGAAGCTTTGCAGCTGCAGCCTCACCTGAGCTTCAGCTGTGTCTTCCTCTGCCCACACCCTCCCTGCCCCGAGTGCAAGCGGCCTTGGGGTCACTTGGCCACTGAA